CCTATTCGAAAGAGACGTTCTGGCAATGTCTTTTGCCCCAAAAGACGAGCACGAGGCACAAGTTCAGATGGCACTCGAACGAGGCATACCAGCAATATCGGCTGTGATGGGTTCTCAAAGGTTGCCCTTTCCTAGTAGGGTCTTTGACATTGTGCACTGCGCACGTTGTCGGGTCCCTTGGCATGCAGATGGTTATCTCTATAACATAATATATAACTGCTTTTTCAGCAATGTTATTATTAATCCACTTAAGGAATATTAGGCAAAAGTATTATCTAAAAGGCTTTTTTTGTTTTCTTTGGGTCTTTTCCCCTTCCGTTCTTTTCTTTTTCCATTGAAGGTGGTGCTTTACTTCTGGAGTTGAACAGAGTACTTCGTCCCGGAGGCTACTTTGTGTGGTCGGCAACTCCAGTTTATCAAAGCCTCGAAGAAGATGTACAAATATGGAAAGGTAACAACATTCTAGAGGAAAACAGAACTGGTGACAAAAATTACCTTCAAGTTGGTGGCTTTAAAGCTTTGGAATTTTATTATCCAACAAAGGACAATATAACTGTCACTAAAATTGGCATCTAGGGACCAGATATAAATTTCAAAATGTTATTTCAAACAACAGATGTATAAAATTCCAGGGGAGCTAAAATAACATGGCCTTTCGTTCTTGCAGAAATGTCGAACCTAACAATAGCCATGTGTTGGGAGCTTGTCACGATCAAGAAAGACAAGGTGAATTCTGTCGGTGCTGCTATTTATCAGAAACCAGACTCAAACGATTGCTACGAGCGAAGAAAACAAAAAAACCCCCCAATGTGTAAAACTGATGACGATCCTAATGCTGCATGGTGAGTTCGACCGTGATAGAACATATTAATCAAGATAATGAAATATGAAATTTTATTTAACTGATAAACAGTAACCAAGTAAAGCTTCCCAGCAGAATGGTTCTATCCGACACAAACTAATCTATCTTTTGCCCAACAAATTACATTTTACAATATAATTCTTACTGTCTACCTTGCCTCCATTACATACCCATTAAACTGACTTAATTATAACAGGTACGTACCATTGCAGTCGTGCATGCACCAGGTGCCGATTCAAGAAAACGAGAGAGGGTCCCAATGGCCTGAAGAGTGGCCCGACCGGCTCCAAACGCCACCTTACTGGCTCAACCGATCCCAGATGGGTGTTTATGGAAAACCGGCTCCTGATGACTTCACGTCAGACTATAAACACTGGAAAAAGATGGTCAGTGAGTTGTACATGAACGGTCTCGGGATCAGCTGGTCCCACATCAGAAATGTCATGGACATGAGAGCTGTTTACGGAGGGTAAGTACAAGTAAAATTTTGCGTTGTCATCTTAAAAGTAGTCATTCATGAGTCTTCTAAAACCATGTCTTACATTAACCATTTTTCGAGAAGAATGCTACATGTCATTTTTTATGCTGTCAAAGTGTTAACACAGGAAAATCTTGCAACAAATTTCTATTTTCTCAACCAAAAAGCAATAACAATAATAGTAAACTAAATGAAAAAGAAAATTGCCCACACAGGTTTGCAGCAGCACTCAAGGATCTCAAAGTATGGGTAATGAATGTGGTTAACATAGACTCACCCGACACTCTCCCCGTAATCTACGAGAGGGGCCTTTTCGGGATTTACCATGACTGGTGCGAGTCCTTCAGCACCTATCCACGGACGTACGATCTCCTACACGCCGACCATCTTTTCTCTACTCTTAAAAAGAGGTAACCCAATTCTACTTATCATACATTCGTACTTATTACGTACGAAAATATAATCCTTAGGTGCATTTAACCGTGCATTTACTTGAAGGTGCAAGCTAGTAATAGTGATTGCCGAGGTCGACCGAATAGTGAGGCCCGGAGGCAAACTGATCGTGCGGGATGACTCGAGCACGATTGGAGAGGTTGAGGACTTGCTCAAGTCCCTGCATTGGGAAGTGTACTTTCCAAAAAACCAACAAGGGATGCTCGGGGCTCAGAAGTCCGAGTGGCGGCCCAGGTCGTACGCGGGCCCTTCTTGAATTGGCCGAAAGGCGTTATCATGATTAGGAGAATATTTAAGGTGTCAGGAAGACAAAGGACGAAATGCAGCTATGGTTCGGGCCCTTCTTTTTAACTTTGTATAGAAAATGGTTTTATTGCATCAAATATCATATATTATATGAAATATGCGCGTTATTTATCTGTATTTTAAAAATTGGGTCATACCATTTTATATTAAATGTCTTCATGTACACTCGTTGTTTTCTGTTAACGGTAGTGTTACTTTTTCGTAGTTTTTTGCCATTGTACTCTAAATTATATCAATTATTATGTGGATTTTACCACTATACCTTCTACTAGTACAACACCCGTGTATTACACGAGTGTTTGCTAAATTTTTTCTTAAAATCCAAAATTAATGAGAAAAAGTAGTTTGAAATTTAAATACCTTTTATAAGAATATATATATAATTATATATTTATTATGACACTTTTTATTTGTGCAACTTACTTGTGTTATATTATACTAATTTTTTTTAACTTACAATATATAACTACATTACATATAAATATATCAATTGAGAAATAATTTTATTTTTCTAATGAATTTTAATAAATATTATTATTTTTTATTATTATAAAGATAAATATAATTTATTTATTTCATATATACAATGTGGATATCAAATCGAAGATCATCAAAAGTAGATTAATGTGATATATTATATATGTAAAACTGATAAGAAATACAAAAGTTATCAACTTTTAAAATACATTTATAATTCATTAGCTTATTGAAGGAAACAAATCAAAATTCAGGGATATATTAGTCACTTAGTGTCTCACTATGTAAAATTACAAAGAATTAAAGGGTTATATTAGTAAAAGTGATATTAAAATACCTAAGTTAGCTAAATAATATTTATGGAATACCCGAACCTAGATTATTAATTATTAATATATCAATATTATTTATCCAAACCTAATTACGAAGCATGATTCTTCGCCAAATAGGATTCCAAAGCACCAGAAGCAGCCACGTAGGCTCAACGCGGAATTATATAGGGAGGATTATACTAAGTATGCACATTATCTTTTGTATTTTAAAAATTGAGTTATACCCATTTATATTTGATGTCTTCATAACACTCGCTATTTTTTGTTAACGGGTCTTCACGCATACTCTTATTTTTTGTTAAATGTGTAACGGGTCTTCAAGCATACACTCATTTTCTGTTAAATGCGTTAGTTAAATATAACGATATTGTTTTTTCGTTGATTTTACTATTATAGTCTTACTTTATCATTGATTTACCATTATAATCTTAGTAGTCAGTAATTGACTTTAAAATAAAATCCCAATAGGGGGATTGAACCCCCAACCATTGGGTTATAAAAAGTAACTCTCACCAACTGGGCTACTAGACATTTAATTATAAACGTTATTGTTGGCATTCGAGTTGGTAAGTATAGGTTCCAAACTTAATCCCATCATAAAACGGCTTTATCGAACTAAGTGATCCTAAAAACAGATCTCCCCAAATAGTCTTGTCGGACATGGAACTCAGCTCAACCCCACCCCCTGATGATAGGCGGCCCGAGCCCGAATATTGGAGAACAAATAGAATAACATGCAAGAGCAGAATCCAAGCTCGACGACAAGAAGAAAGTTCGAGCTCAAAACAAGAGGAAAGAAACCCCAACTTCAAGTCACAGTGGAAGTCCGATCTCGAAGATCTCAGGGGTCGGACCTCGAAGCGCACTCAAAGTCAAGAAATAATAAAATAATGTCACTTGTAGTCTAATGATGGCCGCTGGGATGTACCCACTAGCTCTGCAAACCTATGACCCATAGGCTCGTAGGGTAGCAATTCCTCATTAAAGGCCCGCCAATCAACATTAAATAGCCAATAATCAACATTAAATAGCCAATAATCCTCGTTTAAGGTCAACCATGCCGCATTTAATGGTTGTCATTCCGAATCACTGTGCAACATGGCTCGGTGAACAGTAGAAGAATAGTGACCATGAATATTTTGCTATAAATAGTCCTAGGTTTCATTTATGACGGGCAAGAGAAAGAATAAGCCAATCAAATAGAGGAAAATACTATCTCTACAATATTGTAAAGAAAAACAACAATCGTTTGTAATAAATGCAGGCAACACAACCTCAAAATTCGGCCTCAAAGCATTCAGAGGCCGACCTCATTCAAAACTCTCCTTCCCAATCATAAAATCTTCCATTTCGCGATTTCATTTTTCTAATTTACTGATACAAATCTAGATATCAATAGTTTGATGTTAGAAATAGGACTATATAATTTGCTTGGAGTCAATTTTCGAACTTGTGAACACACGATTTTGAAACAATCAATGGAAACGCCGCTATATCCAAGTCAGGAGAGGCTGGTTCTCAACCACAAACGCCACACGACCAGTCGCGGTGGCCCCCACAATAGATTTTACGACATTTTTTTTTTGTGGATTGTTGAGAAACTGATGGGGACGGGAGTGAGAAAGAAGAAATGGATGATTTTTTTTTACGGTATTTTGTTTTTATTTTGTTGTTAATGTAAATTTGTTTTCATGTTGTTCAATTATTGTAATGGTTTTTTTTTACGGCATTTTGCTATTTTGAATTGAATATAAAATGTTTTTTTTTTTAACTTTCCAACTTTATTCATTGTTTCTATTTTTTTATGTTTTTCTTAATTATGAAAGTAGAATTGTTCATAACCGGTATCATTTAATTTTCAAATTAAAATTAATTTGTAACTTCTAATTTTAGATTCGTTTTTTTTCCATAAAAAAAGGAACAATTTTTTTTTTCTATTTTTCCAGTTTTTTTTTTTTTTTTTTTTTTTTT